ACACAAGCTTTGCGTTCACAGCCATGAAGAAGAACAATCATGACGGCATACAGGAAAAACACCTCTTTCCCCTGTGACACTGCACCTGAAGTGCTTATTCCTATGTTCTGCCTCAACTGGTTTGGGAGGTAGACAGAGGAAATATGAAGGAATAAACTGGGCTCCCTGACCTCCAGAGCTTTTCTCTCTAAATAGTAAGGTAATAAATATGTGAACAGGTGAAAAAATTAAGGAATGTTATAAGAGAAAAACACAATCGTTGTCAGCATTAATCCCTATTTGCCACATGGGTATGAAGAAGATACCACCGAAATAACCCATATACCACACTGAAACTGACTGATAGGATATCGGGGCCAGAAGCCCTGGGTTGGTCCCAAGGAAAGGCTCCTTGCAGGAGCCAGGAGTGAGAGGATAGAAAGATGAGATATGAAATCAAGATAATTCATATACAGGGGAGCTCTCTACACACTGAATCCTGTTGACCTCTGACTTCTCTGACCAGAAAGAACTGCCACACAGCATTCTGACCTTATCTCTGGGATAGCAGAATGACAGAAAAGTTTCTTTCTGCTTCCTCCTGGGAGATTAATAATCATTCACCTGTAATGTCTCCATTTGGCTGACATTGGTCTACTTTTCCACCTTCGACCTGAAGCATTCACCAAATGCATCATTTTTATCTAGACAGTGTGTGTGTTTGTGTGTGTGTCTGTGTGTTTGTGTGTCTGTGTGTCTATGTGTCTGCGTGTCTGTGTGTATGTCTGTGTGTGAGAGAGAGGGAAAGAAACGCTTTGTTATTGGCATTTCAGATGTTCTGGGCATGGTTCCATCTACAATCTCTATAATTCTGGAAATTTTGAAATATACTTTCTAGCTTCTAGGCGTCATTTGCAATTATAATGCTGTCATAGGCACAAAAAAAGAGATAGCCTAATTAATCATTTTCAGTATCAGTTCCTATTTACCACATGAGAGTTTTTCTGTTGTTGTTGTCATCGTTTTAACAGACTGACTAGAAATAATTTGTATCAGATTGCATTTCCTCACTTTATATCACTGAAAACATTTACTTAGCATCTTGGTCACTGTACATAAATATCCTGGAAGCAATGAGGTATAACTAAATGGCATAGATTCATTCATTATATTCAGCAAATTACGTACTGAGCACCTAGTTCAGCATGTGAGCCACACTGCACTCAGCGCATTAGGCTGCTGGAGGCCTTAATAACCTCTATGGCTTCCTGAACATGGTCAGGACCCTGTGGTCACCTGCAGATAGGCAGAATGAACAGCTGTGCTTCCAGAGACTCTAACTAGGATGTTTTGTATGATCTAGTTCCTTAGAATTCCACTGGTCAGTGGCTTTCTAATGGGAACACAGAGCCCTGAGATTACTCAGACTGATAGTTAAACCAACAGGACTTTGTATTCATGAAGTAGTAAGTCATAGTGACTATCTGAGATTAGTCAGTATGGCAGGACAATGCCATTACTAGCCAGCTTGCTTCAGTCCTTAGTCCCTCCATTTGCCTCAGAACAGTGATTTTTAAGCACCCCAAATTGAGGAGTCAAATGGATGCTCAGTCAAGGCTCATCTCACAATCACAAATGCCTGCCTCTCTCTTTCTCTCTCTCTCTCTCTCTCTCTCTCTCTCTCTCTCTCTCTCTCTCTCTCTTGCCTTGATTTGTCACCTATGTTCTGTTAACCTCTGTGTATCTGTAGGTTGTGGTTACCTAGCTCAGATGGTACTGATGAACACACTTCCACTACAACGTACATGTAAGGAGTGGGAACAGCTATCCTTTACCAAATGCCTTATATTTACCAGACATCTAGCTGGACGGTTTGTGTTTCATATAAGCATTTTACTTAGTTCTCATTAAAATTCCTAGGACATAGATATCATTAATCCTGTGACTTCACAGAGACCTAGGAGGGTGATGTCACTTGCTCAAGGGTACAAAACCTCACATGAAACTCAGCCAAGATTCAATCCCTGCTCTTCCAAGCCTAATACCCACGTTGGTTTCCTGTATGGCAGCTGACCTCTAGGGACCAGGATTTTCTCTGCTCAAGGAGCAGCTTATACCCAAAGATCTCCTGATTCTTCATTCTATTTGAAGTCTCTCTGTAAACTGGCCTTTGAAACTTCGAACTTGTTTGGTACAATGAACTGAGAAAAGTTTTGTTTAAAGGAAAAACGTGAAGGAGAGCAGCTGTGGTCACAAATATTTTCTAATAGCCTTCCACAAATGATCTAAGTAGATTTTTTTAATATAAGAAAAATCTACATATGGGGCTGGAGAGATGGCTCAGTGGTTAAGAACACTGACTGTTCTTGCAGAAGACCAGGGTTCGAATCCCTGTACCCAAATGACAGCTAACAACTGTCTGTAACTCCAGTTCCAGGGGATCCAACAGCCTCTTCTGTCCTCCGCAGGCATTGCACAACATGGGTACACTTACATACATGTAGGAATAACACTCATACACATAAAATAAAAATAATAAATAAAATATTTAAACAATTTTTAAGAAAAGAAATAAAAATCTACATATGAACCTGTAGTATTTCTGAGTGTCCCCAGTCAACTCAGTACTATGATATTGTTATGTGGTACCTGTCAGAGGCTGAGCCCCAGCCTAGGAGACACTCTTCAAAGGCCACCAAGAAAAGAAAGGAGACCTGAGCCCAGGAGAGCTGAACCCGGCCCTTCAGAGGCTCAGATGGTGGCAGTCTGTCCTGAGAGTTTAAACCTTTCATTTCTTCCTACATTCAAATTATCATATTCAACCTTGAGTCTCAAATCATAAAAATTATGTTTCCTATTGATGTTGACTACAGGACATGGAATTCAGTTGTCTTCAGCAGAGAAACCCGGAGCTTACTTATAAACTGTTGAGTATCTCTTTCCGGCTTCTCTGTACCTAAGTATTCTTACCCATCCTCCACAAAGTGAACATGTGTGAGCAAAGTGGAACCAGTTCCTCAAACACTAACAGCAGTAGTCCTACGGGAAGTCAACCCACAAAAAAATATGCAAATTCAGTAAACGCTCAGAGAAACACTGTTTCAGAGAAATAACTTTACCAGTCTCTTCGTGATAACATTGGTGTAAGTTTGGCCAGCATTAGGTTGAGAGCTCTGCAATGTCCACCTTTAACAATACAGACATGCACGGCCCAAAGCAGCTAATCACTATAGGGAGTTTAGGTAACCGTGGGGAATTTGTGATTGCAGACAATAGCCAAATGAGGAGATGGGCAGAGTGCCAGGTGCAGGGAATAAGGGAAATGTGATGGTTTGTCTCCTCTGAGAGAACAGGATCTTTACATACATAATTACAGTTCATAACTGACCCTCTAGAACCATCTGTCTTATCCATCAGAATATTTAAACAATTTCATAAGAAGCTTCTTCTGGATATATCACAAATCAAACAAAACGGACATACTACGTTTTCCAAAGATGGCTCAGTCATGAAGTGCTTGCAGTACAAGCAAGAGGACCCAGCACTTGAAACAACAACTAGATGTGATGGCATTCCCCTGCAATCCCAGTGCTAAGGAGTCACAAGTAGGAGGATCCTTGGGGCTTGCTGGCCAACTTGCCTAGCCAAAGCAATGAGTTCTAGATTCAGCACCCTGTCTCAAAACTTAAGGTAAAGAGTGATTTTTAGAAAACACAGAATTGACCTCTGACCTCTGCATATATGTGCAAACATATTCATGCACACACATGTACATACATGCACATGAACACATACACTTACGTATATACACACACACACACAAAAGGAACCCTGATGTACTATAGCAATAAATAACAGACTTTTACGGCTGTACTTCCAGGATCCCATTCCCCTTTAGGTCCACTCCACTTTTCCTGGCCTACCATCATCCAGGCTTTCCTAAGTGCCCCTCCAGTAATGATATCCCCCAAGGTTTAGTGCTCTCTACATCCTGCCTTGATTGCTCACCTGCAGTTTCTTGTCTATGCATCTTATTTCCTCAACCAGATTGGAGGTGCCTCGCAGGCACAGCCCAGCTCAGATAGCCATCCATCATAGGCCCATCAATATCTTTTTATAACTGACCCTGGGTCAGTAAAGTCAGGACTGTTGAAATGTCTACACAAGGCCAGATTTCCTATAGCAGGGCAGAAGAAAATTGCCAGGTTTCCTGTGGCACCTTCTAGGAAACTTCCTGAGAAGGTTCAGGGCTACTCCTGGAGAATGTGCTAAGTCTACGACTTTCCTGTGCCCTCTCACCTCTCTCTCTCTCTCTCTCTCTCTCTCTCTCTCTCTCTCTCTCTCCCCCCCCTTCACACTCCAGTAAACTGAATACTGTATGGGAAAGCTTGCTCTCCTCCATTTCCCATGAAGATCCTACCAACAATGGAGGCCTGGGAGTCACTGGATTTCTGGGAGACCTGAACATCAAACTCATGCTGTGATTGGGTTATTGTCCTTCCCACATGCCCAGTGCAGTCATTCACCAGACTTCCCAGGTTTCCTCCTCTCTCTCTTCCCTCCCCACAGCCACCAGCACTTGTCAAGACTGGTCAGAACCCCACTGTCCATACAAACCCAAAGTCCACCAAAATGGGAAAGAACTTAGGGAAATTCGTCCCAGGACATCAAGGACAGTTTTCTACAGGGCTTCATAGAGCAGGGGGAGGGTGGGTTGTGCCTGTGCTTGATCATCTGGTGAAGATAGTTGGTCAGGGCAGGTTGTGAGCCCACCATCCATTGTCTGAGACCCTCACAGAATATCAGCCCAAGAGAAAGCCCCAGACGGCTGTGCTGGGCCTACCATGAGACCCTTTCCATACCCAACTACATACACCAAGGGACAAGTCTGTGTGGAAAATCAAACAGGCCCCGAGCCGTGCCCTTTGGACCTTTGGCAATTCTCCCTAAGCCCGGGCTTCCTATAAATGGAGCACTTTTCTCGCGGCCAAGCATTCTCACCAGTGCCTGCTACAACTAGCTACGGTCTTGGAAGAGCCTGCAGAGCCAGCAGTGGCTCCAGGCCTGGGGAGCCACCCCACCCACCGGTCAGCCATGGGCCCTCAGAGGCCCCCGCTGCCGCTGGTGCTGCTGCTGCTTCTGCTGCTCTTAGACACCAGCGTCTGGGCTCGTGAGTGCCAGTGGGGGCAAGGGTGGGGCCCTGTGGGGGCCAGGGTCGACAGCACGGGAGTCAGGGTTGGGGACCAGGGTGACAGCCCAGTGCTGGGTCATAGCTTGGGACTACCAGTTACACCAGAGGGTGGTAGAGCTAGAGTAGCTTGGGCCATGTTCAAGGGAGGGTAGCCCCTGGAGCCCTAAGGTAGATGTTGGTGCAGACCAGGACTACAGATGGTTCCATCAGACTCAAGGTGAGGGCAGTGGATGCAGGGACTAGGAACTAGGTTCTGGAGAGCCTTAAAATAATTAAAACCTTGAAGGAGTCCTTCCTGTCAGCCCCTGGAACCCATTGGAAAGACACGAAAAAAGCCAAGGCTTCCTTCTCCTTTTCTTACAGAAGACGAAGTGCTGGAAAATGTCAACTGGAACTGTCCAAGTAAGGCATTTCTCCACAGGGTGTGAAAGGGAACCTCAGCCTGTCCTCTGTACCTCTGTTCCCAAGAGCTTGCTCTTTCTACATAGTACCGCATAGTGCCCACATGCTCAGATAAGTGGGCATTGCTCTGACCCCAGGAAGCAAGTGTTTTGAGTCTCTACCCACCCAGTCCCCTCTCCCAAAGGATGCCCTCCTTTTTACCTTGTTTTTCTCATCTGTTCTTGGGCCAGGAGTAGGTTAGGGAAGGGACTGTCATAGGCACTTTGAAGAGACATTACTGTCCTGTTTATCACTAATCATAGATTCAAAGTGTAGAGGATGACGATTAATGATTGATTCAGAGTGTATAAGGATGAGGAAATGCTGACTTTTAACCTGTGTGCAGAACTCCAGACCCCGCCACCCCTTAGTATTTACCTGACCCCTACAGGTCAGAAGATTTGGCCTTGCAGCGGTACCCAGTGTTCTGAGGCGAGCGCCAGGGCTGGCCGTTTCTTTGATGGGGCAACACCTCCATCTGATGGTCATATTGGAGTACTGCATATAAACTCGAATTGCTCACAAAATTTCTTTCAAGCACAGTGGAATCCTCCAGAGATTTCTTGGGGCGGAGGGGTGGGGCGGGGCAGAATTCTGAAAATCAGTCAGGCACCCCTTACACTTAATTAACTTGGCTTTAGGTATTTCATAGCATCAAAAGAGTCACATGGTAACAGCATTTTCAAGCAAGGAGAAAAATGGAACTAGCACTGTTCCTTTGATAACTCTTAATTTTCTGAAGCATCTCTTCTATAAATTTTTGGAGCCCCATTATTTGATGCCTGACATTCTTTTCTATGTACCCTGGATAATATATTAGGAGCATCCAAAATAATTTAAATATCAGCCTTGGCAAAAACATGGAGATGTTAAATCTATAAAGGAAAATTAAATATAATGCAAAATCAATTACAAATAGTTTGAGTTCAGTTATCAATGTTATTAACTATGCCACTACCCCCTCTACCCACCAGTAACTGTCCTTGGGAGAGTTATTTCATCTGTGTGGCTGATTTATTTCTCCTCATTTTAGAAGACGCAACTCGATTCAAGCACCTCCGAAAGTATGTGTACAACTATGAGGCTGAGAGCTCCAGCGGAGTCCGTGGCACTGCAGACTCCAGAAGCACCACCAAGATCAACTGCAAGGTATGGAGGACGGGGGCTGGAGGAACCTGCAGAGGAACCCACAGCTTGTCCCCAGCCTTGCCCTCCCAGATTCCACATAGAACCTCCCAGGAGGTCAGAGCACCTGCTAGGATTGTTGTAACTACTGAAACTATCCCTCCGTCTGTAAGTCAGCTACCTGAATAAGAAATTGTCTGCCACAGAAAGAAATGTGAGACAAATTATTCTGCCGTTAGCCTGTAAGATGTAATTGGAGGACACAGTCTATACGACAGCAGGATAGGCCTATAGATCTGGACACAAAAGAGGCCAAGTGAGGTGATCATCTTGGGAATGTTCTGGGGTGCGCAGCACTTATGAGCTCAAACAGAATCTGGAGAAAATGTAAAAGAAATGCATAGTGGAGTGATAGTTGAAAAAGAAAATAACAAGCAGGAAAAGGCCATCATTGGCATCGACAGCACAGGCTTCCTTAATGTCATCCCCCAAACAGTTACCTATGAGTACCTGTTGAGAGTTTCACAGATGGAGAGAACTGAAATTGATCTCTGGTTGTTATCTGGAACCATTCAAAGAACATTCCGGCATGGTGGAGATATTCCATACTTGTGATCTAATGTGGCAGCATGCCCCATGGGTAGCTACTGGCCAACAGAAATATGGCCAATGAGAGAATCAGGACTGAATCTTGAATTTTATTCAATTGAAATGGCCATCCATGGCTAATGCCTGCTGTTTTGGCAGCATAGATCAGCACTACGAAGCCCAATTTCGAAGAGGGCAACCTCTAGCTGGACTTCTCCACACAAACCTCAGCAGTAGCCCCTGGATGTGTCTTGCACACAGTCAGAAATATAACCAGTCCTACAGTAAGGAACATTTTATTTTAACACATGACCACCACATTCCCAACAGCCTTTCCCTTGGTGTCATTAGCGATTAAGCCAAAAGGGTACCTCCTGATCTTGTTGGACAATCTCAGTGTGCTGGTACCTTCCATTCTTTTAGATCGAGCTGGAGGTTCCCCAACTCTGCAGCTTCATCCTGAGGACCAGCCAATGTACCCTTAAAGAGGTGTATGGCTTCAACCCAGAGGGCAAGGCCTTGATGAAGAAAACCAAGAACTCAGAGGAATTTGCAGCTGCCATGTCCAGGTAAGACAAAGGTTTGTGTCTTTAAATATCTGGACTCTGTAAATCCTGCATGTGCTGAACATGAACACATGCATGTACGCATGAGTCCTTGGAGGTACGCGCATAGGTGTGCTCATATCAGGCACGCCTGTGAGCGCTGGCATTAGTATTCAGTACCTATCATAGATCAGGATACTGTGGAGTTTTCACATCTATCAAAAAGAGGGAAGCATTATTTACCCACACCTAGTTAAGTTCCCTTGATTATCATTTAGACTGCTTCTGAAGATCTCATGGTTTAGACACTTGAGACCAAAGCTGAGGTGGTTTGTTTAAACAGACGAGACCCTGTTTGAAGAATCAAACAAGGCTGGTACCTGGGGGTCTTCAGCATGGGTCAGGCAACACTTGCTTCTGTGAGATCATAAATTCTGCATGGCCCCCATATGATGAGAGTACAAGGTCTGTTCATGCAGGATAAAGGGCAGGCAAGGCCCTCACAGGTCCCCCTATCCAGGGGTAGCATGCAGTCACTGTACACCAAAGGCCAGTGCTACTGTTTACAGCTGTCATCACTCCCAACATATCAGTGACAGTGTTGAACCAATCATTAAGTATTTTCAACACCACCCTGACCTTGCCCCTAGTTACAGTTTAGGAGGCCCTAAGTCTATAAAATGCAAGCTGTCATGGGGATGTTAACTTAGTAGCTGGGGGATCTCCATAGTGCCCATTTTTAGATTTGCTAAATGTTAGAACATAGTCTTTTCTCTGAGAAATAGGTGTGGATGTTTCTGTCTTCCATCAGAATACCTTACTTTATCTGACACTTCTGGAGGGAAAAGATGTACTGGGATGAGAAGGCAGCAGTTATTTCTTGTTCCTTTCTCTTCACTAAACACAAGGAACCATGAGAGCTTGCCAGGCCTGCGTCGCTGTGTCTACAGTCCTGTGAGAGGTGCAGAGCTGTAGGAGAAGTACCTGGTCCTCTTCTCCCGCTTCTGACTTAACTAGAGTAGGTGCAGCCAGGCCCGTACCAGTTCAAAAAACCCCCAGCAGGAAGTTCCTAAGACCAAAGTCAGCCTGGACTTCACTCATGGCCTGAGACCACATAAAAAAAGTAAATTCCAACAAATTCATGGAAAGAAGCTCAAATTCACTCGTAGATAGAAAAATGTAAATATTACAAGATCTCTATCACTGTACACACATCAAATGACAAGATTTTAATACAGCTATGTTGCCTGTTGCTGGCAGGCCAGGGAAGAAAAATATATTGTCACTTACTAATGGTAGAAATGGGAGCCATTCAGCAATATCTATTCCAATGAGTAGTGTTTATACTTTGACACAGCAGCTCCAATCTCTGGGACTCTAGCCCATGGGATTAAAAGCAGAATGTGTGAAAACAGACATATAAAGCTGTCTAATTCAGTCTCACTTGTGTGACCACAAAAGAAATTAAGAAAGCAAACGCCATCAAATGGGGGCAATGTTTAATTAACTATAAATAACCAAAGAATGGACTGTTATACAGATTTTATTAATCTATTAGAGGTATTCCAAATGATTCAGATTTTCAGAGTATAATTAAGTGAGAAAAGCGAGGTGAAGAAAGTAGACATAATACATTGCCATTTGTGTAAAACACTGAAAAAACATCTGTGTCTGTGTTTGTATCCACGCATCTCTGTATAGAACAGCATGGACATGACACGCTAATGAGGTAGACAGGGAGGTGCCCGCACGAAGAGTAATGGAAGCAGAGATGGGTGGATGGGGAGCAAAGAAGGGGTGAGTGAGCCAAGCCAAAAACAGGACAAGGAAATAAAAGAAAGCCCAAACCGACACCTATTTGTACACTTTTTGGAAAATGTGTGTGGAAGGTCAAAAGAAGAACTGAGGTAGGAGGAGACTGCCATACTGCTGGCTCCCTCTGCAGGTTGGCAGTGCAGGAAAGGCCTTCCTTTGACTATGCCCTTCCTCTCTCTAAAACAGATATGAGCTCAAGCTGGCCATTCCTGAAGGGAAGCAGGCTGTCCTTTACCCTGAGAAGGATGAACCTAAACACATCTTGAACATAAAGAGGGGCATCATCTCTGCCCTCCTGGTCCCTCCGGAGACAGAAGAGGCCAAACAAGTGTTGTTCCTGGTGAGAATTTTAAAAGCTGATGACAACGGCCTTTCAAGCTCCTCTTCACCTGTCAGAGACCATCCTCAGCATCCACAAAATACATCATATATCATCACTGGTCAAGCTGCATTGATACATTGGGCGCCTTGGATTGGTGTAAATGCCAGTGACTACGGCTCCTTCTGTCCCCAAGGCTTACTGATAGGCCATCTTGAGCTGATGACTTTGTGTCTAATTTTAAAGCAGTTCGTGAGGACTCAAGCAAGTAGACTTGCTTTGGGTTGATATTTCATTCTCCTGCCCCTCACAATTATAACACAGGAAAGCCAATATGCATTTTAGACACCAAGGAGACTGGAATATGCTGCCAGCCAACTTTAAGAATTTTAGATCTATCTCATAGGGAGAATTCAATGTACTTCAGGCACATGAACGTTTTTGAGCCCTTACTGTGTTCTAATCTCTCTACTCCATGTTCTTAGAGAATATTGAGGTGTTTCCTGCCTCATGATATCCTGGGTACCACTCTTTGCTGGTCTCCTCCCACCAACACAAGTTGGCCAGCCAAAGCAATGGGAGCAAAGAAAATCCCTGCCAAATCTGTATCCCTCCCGCCAATGCTCCAGGCCTCTCTCTCTCAGCCCCCCTCAAGCACTTGATGGTGTTTTTCCCCACACTAACTGTACCTGATCATATCTTCTGCTCCCACAGGATACCGTGTATGGAAACTGCTCCACTCAGGTTACTGTAACGACAAGGAAAGGAAATGTGGCGACAGAAATGTCCACAGAGAGAGACCTGCAGCAATGTGATGGCTTCCAACCCATCAGCACTAGCGTCAGCCCCCTTGCCCTCATCAAAGGCCTGGTGAGTCTCATACCACAATGTCATACGCACCGAGCAGCTGCCTCCTTAGGAAATTCTGAATGTTCTAGCTATTAGGGCCTCAGAGAAGAGCCTTCCCAGCTTGTCCTTTATAGAGACTCCAGTGGGACCCTGAGAACCAGACATGACAAGGATTGCCAAGGCTGTAGGACTGTTATTAAGTGTTCCAGGACTAGATTTGGACTCCCAGCCCAGAGCTTGGGCCTTCCTACTGTCCTGCTATGGCATCAAATCATCTGCCTGTCTATCCCTGAGAAAGCATAGCCACATACTTTTTTTTCTGTACAAGAGCTGGTTGTCCTAAGTGAATGGCCCCCTAAAGAACTCCCCAGACCTGTGCTCTCTCCTCTCCCTCGGACCATGAAGTGACAAGAGCAATTGTATCTCCCTGTCTTTCCCTGAGAAAGCATAGCCACATACTTTTTTTCTGTACAAGAGCTGGTTGTCCTAAGTGAATGGCCCCTAAAGAACTCCCCAGATCTGTGCTCTCTCCTCTCCCTCGGACCATGAAGTGACAAGAGCAATTGTATCTCAGTTTCCTGTTCTTCCACCCCAAGTAGGACCTGACAAAAGCTAAGCCTTCTGGCTCCTTCCCAGGCCACCGTCTCAGTACTAACTTCCTCTGCCACTATATGGGGTATATCACATAGTACCTGAGTTTGTCCAGTTCCTGTAACATCTTCCAGGACATGAGTTACGAATTGGCTCAGTAAGCATGAACTACTTAACAACCCCTGCCATCCTGGCAATGCTCCTGGTCATTGTCCTTGAGGCTAAAAGGCGAGGATCTGATGACTGTGAGGGTCACAGTTAGATAAAGCCAATTCACTGTCTTGGATTCTTTTCTGAGTGTCTGTTGTGTTCTCATCCTTGCTCTGGGTAGCACTGAGAGAGAGGGAAGGAGAGAAGAAAGGAAGGAATGAGAGAACTAAATGAACCACAGGCGTCCCACAAGTTGCTTTCAGACCAATGTGCCAACAGGTTCACACACTTGCCAGTACGAGACACTAGACACCATAGCTGATAAAATCATCAAATGACAGTACAGAGAAGCAGCCCTAGGCCTGACCCGGAAGGATAAAGCATCCATCATTCATGGAGCTCGTTGGGAACAATCCTGAAAAATACAAAGCATGTATAAATGGAAGCTGTGAGGTGTGCATGTGTGTGGAAGGTACTATGTGATATAAGGCACTCATGGTGTGCAGGGTGAGAACTCGACTGGGATGGAATGGAAAGAGTCTACGGCATGTTGACTTGTGTCCCTTCATCTAATGACAAGTTCATCAGGTTCTGTTCCTTTTACTGGGTTTATGTAGTGCTGCAGCGCTTCTATCCCCTAGTTCCTTGAAGACAGCTGCCTATAGCAGAAGACTTAGCCTCAAGCTCCAAGGACAGACCGAAATGCTTTCCTCTGATCCCATCCACAGGTCCGCCCCTTGTCAACTCTGATCAGCAGCAGCCAGTCCTGCCAGTATACCCTGGACCCTAAGAGGAAGCATGTGTCAGAAGCCATGTGCAAGGAGGAGCACCTGTTTCTGCCTTTCTCATACAAGTAGGTAACCCACATTCACCTGGTTCATCATCTAAGGCATTGGTGAGAGCTGAATGCCTCTTGAGTGTTCAGTTGGAGATGAGGCTGTGCCCAGAAGAAGCTGTGGAATGTATAACATAGAGTCTATCCATGTCTTTTTAAGGGAATGTGGTAGAAAGTTCTAGGCATGTGAAATAATTGGAGTCCAACAAAAGATATCTTATACTCAGATTTTAAGGACTTGTCGATCCAGAAAAGCTGGGAGTCATTCATTGCATGATGTCCTAGAAGCTCTTAGAAAGGGCTTCATGAAGGGTTTAGGATTTCAGTGAGACTTGTACAGCCAAATCTGTTTTGAAAACTGGCATTAGATAACTGCTATATCCTCAACACCATGCCATGGGAGCTACAGTAGACTTTCAAGGTGTAGTGTTAGTCCCAGCCCTCTGGGAATTCTAGACTGGCATAGCACATAAAGTACATTTGTCCTTCAGAGAAAGGATAACAAATATGAGCAGGAGGATGTGGACCTTCTCCATAAGAGAGTCAAGATGGCTGGACTTCACCATGCTGTAAAAGATGGGCAGGATTTGGGAAGGATCAGTGATACGGAACTTTCAACATGAAAAGTTTAGCATGTTCTTGGAAGTTGATCATACATAATGCAGTGTGTTTCCTTTGTTACTAGGAATAAGTACGGGATCATGACACATGTTACACAGACACTGACTCTTGAAGACACACCTAAGATCAACAGCCGTGTCTTTAGTGAAGGTAAGACTTTCTGCCCCACAAGTGCTAGGAAATCTGCCCAAGAGATGCCAATCGTGTCTCAGCTCTTGGCTAGGCCCTTGTAAATGTCTGCTGAGCAATGAGTATGGGAGACTCTAGTGTTCTGACCACTGAGCTATCACTAGGAAGAAATCATTTCATGATGTCAAGGGGTAGTGGGACAAAAGGAAGGGAAATGTCTCCAAAGCTGCCTGGGATTTTATAAGTAGAAAACTGAAGCCTCTGCTGAACATAACACCCTGGTAGCTCTGACAGTCCCATACAGCTGGAAGACTATCCTGGGAGAGGGAGGCAAATGGAAAAGAGCCTTCAAAGTCAGATCAGGTAATCCGAGGACTTGGTCTTTAGAGCTAAGAACTTTAAAGAACTCTAGTGTAACCCCAGGTTAGCATTGTTTTTACTTATATCTTGTGCGGTGTTCATTGTTTTCTTTATTTGTAGAGCTTATGAGGTCAGGTGGTGAAAGCATATGGATTTATGTCCATTCTACAGAGGAGAAAATGGCCCCCAGTGGTACTTAGTGATATAATCTAGGTCACAGAATGAATGCCCAGATGTCATCAAAGTTTCCTGTGCCCACTGCACATTTCTATGCTGGCTGTTACCTTCTCCCTGGCATAGGCTAATGGACCTGTAGGAGGGTCTCCCGCCTCCCAATAAGCTGCTCAAAGATTCAATTGGAAAAACTGGTGGGTGAGGACAACTGAGCTTAGTCTTGGTGTTGCCATGGCAGCAATAGTGCCTCCTCACCATTGTTTGCAACACAGGGTAATCAGATACCAGGTTCACACAACTGGATTCAGTTCCATGTTGACTGCGTAAGTCTAGAGGGTTCTTGAGCAAAAATTCCCAAAGTAATGGGACTGGAAAGATGACTCAAATGAAAGACGCCCTCTGCTCTTCCAGAGGACTCAAGCTCAGTTCTCAGAACCCATGTTGGGCAGCCCACAACAGCCTGTAACTCCAATTTCAGGGGATCTGACACCCTCTTCTGGTCTCTGCAGGCACCAGAACTCATGTGGACATAGACATACACAGACACACATATATGCACATAAATAAAAAATAAAAAGAAATCATTTTTTTAAAGACATGTCTACATCGCTCATTGCTGTGTCTTAGTTCCTTTCACTTTATGCTGTGGAAGAATATTTTCCCTTAAGGAGGCTGTGATGAGACAGTGAAAGCAACTAAATCAAACACCCAGCTCAGAGTCTGATGCTTAATATGAGCTGAGAATGCAATCATTTTCAATGCTCTCTTCCCTCTGCTGATACCTACCCCAGCTTCCAGCTTATATTCAACAAAAACATGTTTGAGCTACAAAAATAAGAACTCCTTTGACACTTCCCTTCTTCCAGGTACTGAGCAGGTAGGTCTGGCCTTTGAGAGCACCAAGTCCACGTCACCTCCAAAGCAGGCTGAGGCTGTTTTGAAGACCCTTCAGGAACTGAAAAAACTGTCCATCTCAGATCAGAATGCTCAGAGGGCAAATCTCTTCAATAAACTGGTTACTGAACTGAGGAGCCTCAGTGATGAGGCAATCACATCTCTTTTACCACAGCTGATTGGAGTGTCCAGGTAGGTTTTTAAGGGTTATACCTCAAATTCTCAAATGACCTATGGAAGCTAAAGAACTTCTGAACTTTGCCCCAACTAAGAATCTTGGAGACTATTTAATTATCAAATCATATAACTGAGTAGTCAGTCAGTTAATACCTGCTGGTTTTAGAACTATCAGCTAAAGTACTGAAGATTCATGAGCAAGACATAGCACACACACAGACACACAGACACACACACACACACACATACACACAGGGAGAGAGACACACACACCACATTAGACATATTTGTGTGTTAAAATAAAAGGGGAGTAGTTCTTATATTTGATGGGTACCGTCTAAATCCTAGTTCTATTTTGAGTACCCTGAAGATTTTGAGAGAAAAAAATCTAGGCCCCTTGATGCTTCAAGACTAGTGGAAAGAGAACTCAGGCAAACAGAATAGTGCCATTTCTCCACCCTTCAGGCATTTGCTGTAAGTACTGCGGAGGCCAAAGGGGACTGAGGCCAGGAATGGCCTATGCCAATGTTGCCCAAGCATTTTTGTGTCCTGACCAGTCCTTTTTTGGCTTCATGTCTGAAGGTCCTTCTTCAAACTTCCCTCAGTGATGTTTCTCCAGTAAATAACCCTAGGAAAGACATCAAAGAGGAAGGCATCAAGATTCCTGAGCTCTTTGTTGCAGTGCAAGAGATGGTTAAATCTGGGAAGCGAAAGGAATGAGATATGTGTTCTCTTGGCAGAAGGCACATCATGGGCTGAAGGTATTGGATACAGTTTGAAGGTGCCCTGCATAACTCTCTCTGAATTTCTCTCCTTAGCCCCATCACTCTGCAAGCCTTGGTTCAGTGCGGACAGCCCCAGTGTTACACACATATCCTCCAGTGGCTGAAAAGCGAGAAAGCTCACCCACTGCTGATTGATGTTGCCACCTACCTGGTAGCCTTGATCCCAAATCCCTCAACACAGAGGCTGCGGGAGATCTTTAACACCGCCAAGGAGCAGCAGAGCCGAGCCACCCTATATGCACTGAGCCACGTGGTCAACAAGTGAGTTTCCACCTTGCCTTGCCCCAGCTGAGAGAAAAAGAAGGTCCACATCTCTGCCTCACATCCCACATGGCAGCCCCCTCGCCTTCAAATCCCAGTGCTGTCTCCTGCTTTTTATAGCTCATTTTAAGAGAGACAACTTGAAATAAGAATCAGCAAAAACAAGTTTGGATTTTAAGAAAAACTTAACTACTATGCTTACTGATTCATAAGTTTCTCTTTGTTTTATTCTATAGTTATCATGAGGTGAACCGTGCAGGGAGCTCAGATCTGCAGGACATTGCTAATTACCTGCTGGAGCAGATTAGCAACGAATGCACCAGGGATGAAGACCACACCTACTTGATTTTGAGGGTACTTTCAGTCTTTTGCATAATATGCCTTGTTTCAGAAATGTTCCTTCCAGATACTCTTTACTATGATGAGTTCTTATCTCATTTTTTCAATGTAGGTCATTGGAAACATGGGCGGAACCATGGAACAAGTAACACCAGAACTCAAGTCTTCAGTCCTGAATTGTGTCAAAAGTACAAAACCATCACTGCTGATTCAGAAAGCTGCTATCCAGGCCCTGAGGAAGATGAAACTTGGAGATGAGGTAAAGCACGCAGAGGAATCCTACAAGTGAAAGCTGATGCTGATCGACATGGTTTGGAAACTATAAACGGAATCAGATTATAAATCTCGCCATTCTACTGGTTTGCTTATAAATCATCTAATTGTGAATTTCTATTTCAATAAGCCCATTAACTTAACTACCCAGCAGTACTTGGATATGAAAGACATACTCTCAACCTTGTAGTTAATTCATCAAGCAGAATGCAAGAGTTTTGCTACATGCTATCCTACCACAAGATTAACCATCATCTCAACTTGGGAAGACATTGATTCTACCCAATCTCACCAAACTAAAATCACGAATTTAAGCCTAACTGAAATCATGAATTTGGGGTGCAAAACTCCAGAGCACTGGAAACTACCTTATTTATAAGCCCCAAACTCACTATGGTTTTCTTTCTTTATCTCCACAGTGACACAATTTATATTCAAACAATCTTATCTTTATTAAGTGGCAGCTCTACAAACAAGTTATAAGTTGATCATAATTTGTGTGCTTTAATGCAATTGAATTCATGATGTATTTTATAGATGTCTTCTGAGAAACATACCTTGAACTGATTGCCCCAGGGAACACTGGCAAGAAGTCCATATCAGCATTTGCAGCCTTATTAGAAAGAAACTAGAATTTTACATAAGAATGAGCCAACATATCATGCCAGGTTGGTCAGGTATGTCCCGTGTCCTAATAGAAGGACGGTGACCACTCTCTCCTCTTTTGGCTGCAGGCTCGAAGGATCCTGCTTGAGACTTTTGTGGATGGTGCCTCTCCAGGGGAGAAACGACTGGCTGCTTATCTCGTGCTGATGAAGGGACCTTCCTCATCAGATATTAACAAAATTACCCAACTTCTCCCAGGGGAACAGAACGAGCAAGTGAAGAACTTTGTGGCATCTCACATTGCCAACATCTTAAACTCCGAAGAACTATATGTAGAAGAGTAAGTAAGAATAACTTTCCCCCACCTGCCACTGAGGGCAGGCCCTGGGATAGAATACCAAGCCCTGACTCTACCGGCACTGCTTGCCCTCAGGATGTATCTTTTCCTTTGGAGAAAACACTTAAGTGAATGTGTATAGACCCTGGGCCAAAGCCGTGGGACAAACAAAGCCCACCCATCTTAGTTGTGATTAGAAATTCTTATCTATTTGAGATACAAGAGACAATAAACAAGTAACAAGGGATTTGGGATTGAATCATATTCTTTCTTTTCATTTAGTCTGAAAAATTTAGTGGAAGAAGCTTTGAAGGAATCTCAACTTCCAACAATTATGGACTTCAGAAAATTTTCCCGGAACTATCAACTTTCCAAATCTATTTCTTTTCCATCATTTGACCCAGTCTCAGCCAAAATTGAAGGGAATCTTATATTTGATCCAAACAATTATCTCCCCAAGGAAAGCATGCTGAAAACAACCCTCACTGTCTTTGGATTTGCTTCAACTGACCTATTCGAGGTATGTGTGAGGCTAAAGGTCTCAAATTCTCTAGCCCATTCAGTGCAACGCCGCCTCTCTCCACTAGGGGTCATCTGAAGCATGAATCCTTAGATTAAATAGAACCAACGATGCCTCAGAGAAGCCCCTCAACCCCAAACCCAAGACTATGCATGTGTTAAATGCATGCATCATGCCTGCTTCAAACTTCAAATCCACTCCCAACTCTGGCTCCTCAGTTTAATTATTTAACCACTCTGATCCTTAGCTGCCTCTTTTCTAGAAAAAGGCAGATGAACGCCACTACTCAAGATTCTAGAGAAATTTAAACAAATAATTTTCATGAAGTGCCAAGCTCAGCCCCTTTCCTGTAGTGTTCATCAGATGCTTGTTTTATTACTTAGACATAAAAGTGGGGGCCGGGAGCCAGTATATAACCAAAAACCTAATGTCATATTTTGCCTGATTTTCTTTCTCAGGTTGGTTTCGAAGGAAAGGGTTTTGAGCCAACATTGGAGGCTCTTTTTGGGAAGCAAGGATTTTTCCCAGACAGTGTCAACAAGGCTTTGTATTGGGTCAATGGTCAAGTTCCTGATCGTGTCTCCAAGGTCTTAGTAGACCACTTTGGCTATACCAAAGATGACAAACATGAACAGGTATGTATTTAAGTATACTCTCAATAAAGGATTGGGTCTCAGTCCAAAACATTCGTGTCTTGGCCTAGAAGACATGGAATTTCTATCTAACTGAAATTATCACCATTGGGTGTTCTTAGATTGGCTATCCTTGCGGTGCTAAGAACCAGTATCCCCTGCAATTAAGGGCCCCTTGAAAACTCAGTGTACCTGGAAAACAAGATGTACTAGAGGTACACTAGCAAAATAGTTAAGTGTAATGTATCAGGCATGAGTTTGAATTCTAACCTCACCATCTCCACATTGTACACCCCTGGAAAAGTTGGGGTTTTTTAGGTATATTTGCTCCTATATCAACAGGATTCTAATAATAATCTATATCTCACAGCATTACTTAAAAACTAAATGAAATAAGATATATTCAGTGCTAAGCACACTACCTGACATTAGTATTGATTGCTCAATAAAAAGATACTTATAGTTTTAAATTAATATTTTCATAATTATTAAACCCTTTCTTTTGACTGTCACGTCAATGCACTAACTATTGAGAACAAACTCAGCTTTAAAGCTGGCAGTGAGCCACCCTTTAAGGAGTAGAAACTAGGTTTTTTAAGGTGGAATTTCTTATTTTTTTTAATTTTTTTTCTACTCATAGTCTCATAATTGTACTATAAGACAACTTGTTATAAATACTGATTCTCAGGCCTGCCCAAATTCTAGTGAATCAGACTCCATTTGAACAAGACTCTGGGGGACTTTAATGCACATTCGAGACTGCCATAGTTTGCTCCCATATGTTACCTGGTAGTCTCACCCTTCACCTTCTGTCTTCTGACCTCCAGTTGAAGCTGATTCATTTTGGGTCTGTTTTTCTCTTTTCTTCAAAGTTACTGTACAATAGTCTATGGGTTTCTTTCTATCTCTAATAACAGTCTATGGTCATGTTTTTTCAGACTTCTGTCTGATTTATATAGTAGCTACTTTTTCCTCAAGAGATTCCTAGCACTCTTTCTCAGTCAAGAGAGAGAGGACTAAGAGGAGGGGGAGATAGAGAGCTTCCTAATCTTGAGGAGCCCTGGGGATCCTGGCATCTTGGAGAGCAGGGGTTTCCTTTGCTATGCCATATTTTCTTCAAGCTAAGCACTGCTTTGAAAGCACCCCTATCCCTGACAAGGGCTCATAGCTTTTCGTCTGTGTCAGGGGAATTATCCTTCAGTAAAAAGTGGGGCTTGCCCTATATTCCTACCATCCATACCATGAGGGCTTGAGCTTGGGCATATCACAGCTGCAACGATAAATCAACTTCAGGAATCTAAAACTGTTGGACAGAGCTAGTATCTCACTAGATATTTTGTTACTAAAATCCTAGGACATGGTGAATGGAATCATGCCCATTGTTGACAAGTTGATCAAAGATTTGAAATCCAAAGAAGTCCCTGAAGCCAGAGCCTACCTCCGCATCTTGGGAGAAGAGCTTGGCTTTGTCAGGCTCCAAGACCTTCAGCTCCTGGGAAGGCTTCTAATGAATGGTGCACGTACTCTGCAGGGAATCCCCCAGATGGTAAGTGACCCAGGCCCCATTTGAGCACTCATGAATTAGCCAGGCTCTTCTTAGATCTCCTGGCCACACAAACCAGAGAAGGTATTTGTACTTCTTTCAAAGACTGAGGTTTGCCCTGAATTCAGTAAAGGTGATTCTTGAGGTCTGAGGAAATGGCTCAGTCAATAAAGCGCTTGATGTGCAAGCATAAAGACCTGGGTTCAGTATCCAGGACCCACATAAAAAAGCTGGATGTGGTGGCACACACTTATAATCCCAACACTTGGGGCTGGGGACAGAGACAGGCAAGTAGCCAGCAGCAAACTCCAGGTAAAACTGAGAAACCCTATCTCAAAAAACAAGTTTAAAAGCATCCTGAGAAATGATACCCGAGGTTGGCCTGGCCTCCACACACATGCATGCACATGCATGTACACCTGCACACACATGCACACATATGAACATGCACATACATACACATTAACGAACAGATGAGGAGGCTGAGGAGATGACTCAGTGTGTAAAGTGGTTGCTATGCAAACATGAGGACCTGAGTTTGGAACTCCAACATGCACGTAAAAGCTGGATACAGTCATGTGCATCTGCATCCCTAGTGCTGGAGTCAGAAACAGCCAAATCCTGAGACTTCAGCGAACAACCAACCTGGTCCAAACTGGCAGGTGATGTGAGAGGCCCTATCTCAAAGAATAAAATAGAGAATGATAAAGGGAAACACCCAGCATCAACTTCTGACCTCCATACATGCAAGCACAGGTAAAAGTACCTGCACCCATTAGAGCACATGGACACATATACCACCTACACAGTCTATTTTTAAATAGATGATTCTTGGCACAGAGAAAATTTGGTAGCATTCAGAAATGTACCCACTCATATTAGTTGTATGTTTCAAGAGCATTAATTTGATCTTCTAGAAAACAATTCTAAGTGTACCTTTCCCAACCTATGCTGAAAGCTCTCTTTAATACTGAAATGATATAATATAAATGAAAACATTAGGAAACAATAACCCACTATCTAAATGTGTTATATTATTATTATCATCATCATCATTGTTTACCAAAAAAAGGAGAAAATATACACACATATTCCCGAAAACTAGATAAATACTCATGTTGACTTTGAGAAGAGAACACTCAAGAGCTGGGGGTGTGACTCAGAATAGTAACCTAGCATGATCAAAGCCCAGATTTCATTCCCACCTAGCACTGCAAAATGAAGAAAGAAAAAGCAGGTCTCAAGTTCTTTTATGAAAAAATAATTTTTTTAAAAAGAGCCAATATATATATTCCCATGGACATCATTTCAGTAGCTTTTTGATTTCAAAAAGTTTATTTTGCCATAATGAAATACATTGCAGGTAAACTCATTTGCACTCAGATTTTTTTAAAACTCCGTCCCATGTCATACATGATACTTAAAGTTTGTAAAGCACTGCAGTCCAGCAGTATTCCTAAGAACCTCTGACTCAGCAGTTTAAAATGACATGACAGTCAAGCTATAGAAACTTCTTATATCTCAATGCACTGAAACCAGTAATCATTAACCTATATTTCTGAGACTATCCAGCTAATCAAAATGGGCTAGTTCCTTTCTTTCTGAAAAGGAATTGTGTGATATTTAGGAGGTCACATTTAACAAAAGTCACCCACATATGTTGTACTTGAAGTTGGTCTCCCCTGTTGGATTTACAGATTGCACAGGCCATAAGGGAAGGTTCAAAGAACGACCTGTTTCTTCACTACATCTTCATGGACAATGCCTTTGAACTCCCCACTGGAGTAGGGTTACAGCTGCAAGTGTCCTCATCTGGAGTCATCACCCCTGGGACCAAGGCTGGAGTGAAACTGGAATTAGCCAATGTAAGACTGCATTGAACGAAAACAAACCAATGCCTGTGTTACTTTTCCTCCGGAGAGCAACTCTTGCACACGTTTTTGAAATGTTTTCCACTTCATGATAAAATGGTTCATAGTAGTAATCACCTTGTTAATTTTTAAGAGAATTTTAGGATTCTACCAGTATGCATCACTTCACCATTTCTCTCTACTTGACATATAAATAAAAAGAGAACTCAACTGTTCTCTCAGCACATGAAGATTCTTATTATCTTTTTTAATCCATCCAGTTATGCTTAAGGTTTGTTAAGGTTCATCCTAGTCCTGGGCAATGCAGGCTGGCTCTGGGGAACCGAACACTTCAGCTTTTCATCCTCCAAATAAATCTCAAAATGTGTGAATGAGGTGTGAGTTAACAGAGACATTTCCCCAGGCGTCAGAAGGAAGGTTAATTAGGAGGCCGAGGTATTTAATGAAACTGAATAGGTCGTTTCTGATTTACAGATGCAAGCAGAGCTGGTGGCAAAGCCTTCAATGGCCCTGGAGTTTGTAACAAACATGGGCATCATCATCCCCGCCTTCGCTAAGAGTGGTGTCCAAATGAACACCAACTTCTTCCATGAGTCAGGCCTAGAGGCTCACGTGACTCTGAAAGCTGGGCAGTTGAAGATCATCGTCCCTTCTCCAAAGAGGCCGGTCAAGCTATTCAGCGCCAGGTAATTCTGCCAGCCAGGTCTGCCTGGCCTGTTTGAAAGGGAGAACCGAAGATGTATCTGCGGGATTTGGTCAGGCTAGATAACTAATTGAAGTAATTTAGGTGCTGGTGAAACAGGACAGGGGGATTGCCTGTACTTTTGCTATCTACATTTTACTAAATTGTCCTGTGCTGTTCTACACTGAGATTTAACATCTGCTGGTTAATGAATAATTGCTAAGTTGTAGGGTGTTGTCTATTTGTTTATTCATTTTAAGAATGAAGAAACACTAGGGTTGGAGAGTTCCTGTTTGGGAACCAAATACTTTTCTCCAGGAAAAACACCATAGGTCACACTAGTCTGCGGTAACTAACTCTGGATGAAACACGCATAAAACTCCTAATCACACGATTATGGGATCCAGCCTCAAAATAAGAGTTCCAGGGCCAGTAATATTAACACGTTCATTTCCTCATTCAGAAATAGCTTTTAATTGCTTAGTATGTACCAAGCTTATTGAAGGAGATACACAAGGATCTCCCTGTGACATCACAAAGCAGGAAACCTGGAGCACACTGCATAACCTACAGGCGCTCAACAGGGTGGAGAGCAGCCTTTTCAGGTGGATCAGTCAATCTGAGCCTCTTCTAGGCAGTCCAGTTTGTCTCAGCTTCTTCCAAGGTCAACTTCTTCCAGGGAACTTTGCTGGTCTGAGAGTGTCTCTTAGCAGTCTTTAGGGCTTATATATGCTAGGGGAGGGAAGAGCCTAGTGAACCTGGCCAGTTTCAGGGGCTTCCTGAAGCTATTGAGTTGCTTGCTTTCTGCTAGAACATCCTGTTGTTTTAAAGAGCTATCATCCAAGATGGTTTTAACACAGAGACAATTGCTATATAAAGAGCTGAAATGTGTTAAGTTAGCAAAGTGAACAGAGATGCTAGGGAACTATGGTGGGAAAGGGTAGCTCAGCTGAGACATGGCTAGCATTATAAACTCTTATAAAGACTTTGGACTGCCCTGAAAGCAACAGAGTTGAGAAAAAGAGTATAAATGCAATAAACAGGTATTAAGAGGAAACACTCTGGCTTTAGAAAGGAAAACTAGGAAAGAGGAAGCTAGGAAGGACCCTACTACAATCATGCATAGTGAGCAGGAACAATGACCTGCATTAGACAGATATCCAGGGGGAGAAGAGTGAGCAGGCTCCAAAAATCACAAGGAGGTAAAATCATAAGTATTTGATGACTGGCTGGATATAGAGTAGAAAGAAAGAAAGAAGGAAGGGAGGGAGGGAGGAAAACTAGGAAAGAGGAAGCTAGGAAGGACCCTACTACAATCATGCATAGTGAGCAGGAACAATGACCTGCATTAGACAGATATCCAGGGGGAGAAGAGTGAGCAGGCTCCAAAAATCACAAGGAGGTAAAATCATAAGTATTTGATGACTGGCTGGATATAGAGTAGAAAGAAAGAAAGAAGGAAGGGAGGGAGGGAGGGAGGGAGGGAAAGAAAGGAAGAGAAAGAATAGAAGGAATAGGGTAGGGGTGGGTTGTGTGGTAGAGTGACTGATTAGCAAGTGTAAAGCTCTAGGACAGTTCATCCCCAGCACGAGAAACAAAACGAAATGAGGCATAAGAACAAAAATGAATGGAAACAGATGTACCTGACTATATGTCAAATTGCTAACAAGTACAGAGAGATAAGAATTACTTCAAGTGACATGGTTACTTCATTGAAACAGGGAACAGAGAGAGAGAGAAAGAGAGAGAGAGATTTATTGTATTTAGATTTCCTCCACTATCTGCACACCCCCCTTATAATATAAATATATGATATGTTATATAATATTCAATATGTTCATTATATATTAAGGCCTATAGAGTCAAATTTGTATGTCCAAATGCCCTACTGTGTGGTTTCATCCACTAGAGTCTGGTCAACTTACCGAGACTCTCAAATGAAACTGACTTTCCTTCCCCCAGCATCCATTTGTTGCCAACACTTCCTCAGGTAGGGATGGGTTTCTTACCCATTTCTCCACATCTATGCTGGGATTGTGTCTGGATTGAGCTTATGTGAGATTTGTGCATGCTGTAACCATTGCTGTGAGTTCATATGAGTAACTGACCAGAAGTCTAGAAAAGCTCCCTCTCCTTGTGGTCATCTACCACCTCTGGCTCTTATAATCTTTCCACCACATCTTCTGCAATAATCCCTGAACCTTGGGAGGCAGAAGTTTGATATAGGTGTCCTATTCGGGGATAAGCACTCTGAAGCCTCTTGTTCTCTGCATGTTAGTCAGTTATGGGTTTCTGTGTTAATCATCATCTGCTGAATAAGGAAGCTTCCCTGGTGAGAACTGAGAGATGCATTAATATATGGGTATAGCAATAAGTCATTAAGAATTAGTTTAATACTATATTCATTAAGCAAAATATTAGTATTAGGCTCTCTCCTATGGTCTCTAACCTGTCTAGTCTCATATTACTAGGCTTAATATCAGTGTCAGGTATGGGCTCGATCTTAGGAAGCAGACCTTAAATCCAATTAGAAAGTGGTTGGTTACTCCAATAACACCCATGCCACTATTGCACCAGTGGGTGTATCCTGCCAAACCAGTTGTTTTTTTAGCTGTTTTAGTTGTTTTTTTAGTCACAACTGGCTAAAGTCGGTTATTAATTTTCTAGCATGCATAGCACCTTCCAGCACGATGAAAGCTAGCCAATAGAGATCAGGCTTTGGAATCAGCACCAGCGTGATTTCTCCTTGTTTGTTCTGCAACTCATGTATGTAGTGTCTTCAACAATTGGAGCTGGAGAGATGGCTCAGCAGTTAAGAACACTGGTTGTTCTTGCAGAAGACCTAGGATTGACTCCCAACACCCACATGGCAGCTAACAACTGCCTGTAACTCCAGTTCCAGGGGATCCGACTGCCTCTCTGTCCTCCACAGGCATTGCACAACATGGGTGCACTTACCTACATGCAGGCAATACACGCATACACATAAAATAAAAATAATAAATAAAACATTTTTTAAAAAGAAATATTCTTATTTAAAAAAATAGGGTCTTACTGTGAAGTTCTGGTAGGCAACCAATAGTAGAGGCAATGGCCAGTATTTTGAAGGTCTGTGGGAACCCTGGTCAACAGCTTCAAGAGGGAGTTTATTCACACCATTGGACTTTTGTTTTGCTAGCCTATGGTGTCTAGTAAGGGCAATGTCCCCCTATTATAAGATAACTCCTTTTAATTTCTTTTTATAATGTATATGTATATATGTTAGGCTTCTATAGTGGTGGGCCTCTTCTATGGGCTATGACCTGTCTAGTCTCTAGTTCCTAGGCCTGATATCAATGTCAGAAATGGGCTCCATTTTATGAAGCAGATGTGGCTTTTATGAAAGGCCTTTGGTGCTAGTTATCCCTCCCCCTCCTCTGCCCTGTCCTTCCATTCTCCACCCCCATTAAACTCTTCCCAACTCTCTTATTCCCCTTTCTACCTTTTAGATCACTGCATTCTACCTCTTTTCCTGGGAAGCCTCTCCACGCCCCCCCATGGCCATTTATTAGTTTCCTGACCATTCTGGGTTTTCAAATTGAAACGTGCATATCTAAGATTTCAAAGTTTGGATATACTGATTTTGGTGTCCTATGAAACAATTAGTTTGAACTATCTAAGTGGCAAATAGACCTGTGGAACTCAGCCCAGTAAAAAGGTTTGAGCTCCCACGTGAATTTGGAAATCATCAGCATGTAGAAGTGAAACCAAACAACCATCAATGAGAAATGAGGGCAGAACATGGAGAATATAAACATGTGAGTGAAGATGGAGAATAAATGGAAACAGTGACAAGAAGGGACCAAAGTACACACCTAGGCAGGCTGCTCACATCAGCAACACTTGGCTTATGACACCTTCCAAAACAAAAGGAGATAGCACTGGAGGAAGAACTTATGCCAAAGAGGAAGCCAGGACACTGTAGACTTTGTTTTACTTGCTATTGTTTTAGGTACATACATGAAAGGAAAGTGGTATAACTTTGACCGAGGTTAGACTCGGATATCTTAATCTAGGTGCAAGTGAGCATCTCTACTGAATGCTTCTGAGCTATCAAGGAAGATAAATTATATATATATATA